AAGAATGACTTTTATATTTCGTTTGTCATAAATTTCACACTTTTTTTTGTTTCACTGCTCTATTTTTTTTATCATAATGATAAAATTCTGATCTATCAAGATGTGGATGTGAACCTTCATTTCAACCACACTCACACCCGTTTTCGACCATGAATACCTTCTAGAATAATGAATAATAAAATTGTCGCAATCGTTATTAGAGATACTAATTTTTTAATTATCTATTTTGAAGAAGAAGAACAGACAGTATCTGATTCACAATTAAATACAAGAGAACGACCTATGATTGAACTTGAATAAAAAACAATATATATTCAATGTGAAAATGTTCCCACATGACATTTGGTTATTTTTAAATAGACAAAACACTCATGATTAATTTTGCAAGTAATAAGACAGAACTAATTCGTAAAAGCAATGGAAAATTATTCTTCAATAATTTGACAGTTTTGAGAATTTATATACAAGAAGATTTTTTTTTATATGAACTGTAAGAGTGAGTTATAAGAACTTTACTAAGGAATTTGAAAATGAGTGTTTATTCTGAATACATATAGTTAATTTTAAGAACAATAGTTATAAGCTATTATGTAAAATTTTTATAGAAACAATGCTAAATATTTTTTCTAGAGTTATATCTTTAATATCTTATCAATGCTTACTCATGTTATCCAAGGCTGTTTGTATATCATCTTATTCGACAATCACTTTTCATAGTTACTAACAAATATATATTAAATACATCAGTCATATGTATTTGTACCGCCGGCAGTGGTCAAGTTGGTTCATATTTGACATAAAATTTACATGAAATTCGTCAGACAATACCATCAATAACAGCTGAAAATAAGCATCTAAAAGAATAAAGAAATATTTTGTCATATTATTTCTTTATAATTCACCCATTGCACGTAGTCAAAATATTCCAGATGAGATAACATTAGAAAACTTTTTTTTTTGTACTAAAGATTCTTCTTGATGATATTATTGTAATATGACAAATAAAATATTTCGTAATTCACTATAAAAAAAAAAACATTTCAAATAAATGAAGTCGTTATGTCATCAAAAATGCAAACCATATTTAACGTTTGACTACAACGACGTCGATTAAAATGGTTCATTATCTGCCTTCGATAATATTTGATATAATAGGGTGTGGGTGTGGATGAAGACAGTATCTATACCCACACCCAAAATAAGAAATAAGAGAATAAATATTCTTACTAATAATGTTGGTTTTGTTGGAAATAATTCCCAATTTTTCTTGGTAATTTCTTTGAATATTCTAACTATATTTTTACGATCATTTTCACACTGCAATTCTCTAATTAATTTTGTTACTTCTTCGAAACAAACGAAAAGTATATAACTTCAATATGGTTTACAAAATCAAAATTTAATTTTTAAATTAAATCTAACTTCTTTTAGCATTAGTACACTCTATATTGAATTCTCGTGTTCACCTATTACCGATATTACTAGTAGAAGTATTCCTTTTGATTTCGGTCGAGAATATAAATTTTCTTGCTCTTTCACATGCTGTAGGACAATTAATTACTTTGGCAAGTGCTAAATGATTCCATAATTTACTACAATGATGTCAGTTATACATTGGTCGATTTAAACTGAATTAATTTGTTCAAATAGAGCAAAAAAAAAATTAAAGAAAAAAATCACCTAATAACTATTGTATAATAATTCCATTGATTCATTATAATTTTACGTTAATTGTAATACTTCAGTTAATCAAGATAAAATTTCGAGCACGAACATAATCAGATAAAAACAGAAGATTTTAAGTTCATTAATTAATTTATCTTACAGTTTGAGTTGTTCACGAGTTATTTAAAAATATTATTTATATCTAAATAAATTTTTATTAACAAATTTCTATGAACAAAAAAAAAATCTTTTTGACAGAAGAGTAAATGCATTTTCAATTATTATTCGTTGTAATCTGAATAATAAAATTAATTATTCGAAAATTTTGATTAAATACCAAACTTGTTCAATAATAGATAATCGTGATTGTTATTGATGAACGAAGCATTGTTTTATTTTACAAAACTCAGATATTTCATCATTATTTAATAAATGAAGATCTGTATCAGGATCATCTAATCATCAAACTTTAAAAAGAAAATATCATTAAGTATTATTTGTAAAATGAAATTAAATATTTTACTATCTTGTAATAGATCTGTTTCTACATGTCGAATTGAATAATTTGCATTATTTGATAGATCAGAGATTTCATAAATGATATTGGATCGTCGAAGCCATTTACAACGATGCATATAAGTAAACGAATAAAAATAATTTGAGATGAAACTAAATAAATTATTTATTTTTGAAAATTTTCAAAGAAAAACGAACGAGATAATAATTGAAATTGCTCGAATAAAATTAATTCATTTTCATCAAATAAATATTTGTAATATTTGAGTAATGAGGAAAGAACTAATAAAAAATGTGTCCAAATAATATTGATTTAATGAAAAAGTATTTTCGATATTTCTATTGCTCTGGAAACATTCATTACATTTGTTATAAATTTCATTTCTTGAAAAATTTTCAAATAAACTATTACTTTCAGGATAAAACTGATATCTTCAAAATTTTCTTTTTCCAATACTAGAATGTAACATATTAGGGATTAGATAGACAATTATATAAAACTTACGTTTATAAAAATTTACTCACTACACAAATGAATAGTCTATAACTAAAATGATTTTGAAAAACATCATTTAAAAGAAGCGATATAATATTAAAAATCAAGTTTACTGTCTATTTTTCCAAATAGTTAAAACGTTTAAGTTTACAATTAGATGTGTATTGAAAAAACTAATTTTTGAACAATTAATCCATGTTGCATCTCGTTTAAAACTGTGTGTAACATTTATAATCATCATGAACTTCATATAGATTGAGATAATTAATATGAGAATATTGAACAATTGAGAAATCTTGATCATCATCTTTTGATATTCTAGATTATTTATTCTTTTGTGGTTTTTGATTACCTAAAGTTAATTCTTTCATCAATGGAAATGATTGAGCAAAATTTAAAAAAATTCATGTCCAAAAAATTGTTCATCAAATAACGATATTTCACGAAAACATTCAAATAATCCGCCTGAAAAATTATTTGTTATCTTATTGTACTTTTTCAATGTATATGAATATGAATAAATATCACATCGACCTCCTGCTGCTTCTGAAAAATAATCAACACAAGTAATAATTTGATTATCAAGATCAATGATTGAATGAATATTATATATAAATTTATTTAATTGTGCTATATGATCAATAATATTCTTCAAACTGAGTTCTTCTTCTAAATTTAACATTCGATGTAGAAATGGTACAATTAATTCATCATATCTATATAGAACCTGATCAAAGAATTGTACGAAGCGTCTTAGCTTAGGAAGTTTTTCCTAAAAATAATAATATTATTGACTTGTTTAATTAGGTATTAAATAATATACTATCAAGTAAAAAAAAAGACACTCAATGAAATTATCCGAACTAACGTGCAATTCTAATAGATTTGATGAGAAAATAGCTGAAGGTGAATAATGAAAGAATAATAATTGATGCCAAAGTGACGATGAAACAAAATTTAAATACTGCAAATTGGTAAACATATTAGTTATGTTTATATTTTCTGTTATACTTCGATTATCATTTCGACTCATATGGATAAGAAGTGATAAAATTTGATTTTTAAATGTATGAAATAAAAGTATTTTATCTAAATAGGAATAAAATACAAAAATATCACAGAAAAAGATGTTATACTTTCTTGCAAATCTAGTTTTCCCATAATAACATTGTTCGAGTCTATCAAAAACAAACAATATTTTCAGAAGTGACTTGACAAATTCTATCTAACTATTTAATTTTCCAACTCATACTCCATCGATTGAAAATTCATAAAAACGATCATTTGACTTACACAATATTTTTTGTATTTTATACATAACAAATCAAATGATCATATATAAATGTTTTAATTGATGATCATTAATAAATTACGCCGAAAAAAAACCAATAAACTAAGATCATGTAATGGTTAAGTAGGATATATTGAAAATTCATTTCTTTACATATGATATGCTATCTAAACAAAATAGAAAATTCTTTACAAGTTATTTTTCATCGATATTTTCATGTAAAGTAGTAATTGATACTTGGGTAAGTGTGGGGTGTGAGTATACTTGTGACAGAAGAAAAGATACACATCCACACCTACACTCTCAAGATTAAATCGATATTCTTATGTGTGAGTGAATCGTAAATGAAGTTTAGAGAAAAAATAGTTTTTGTCTAGTTGTTTATAAGCTATCGAATGCTCGTCTGATCTGAATTGACATCTTTTTTTTTCTGTCGTTGTTGTGGACAAGTTTATTTTCAATTGGAAAAGACACTCAGTTTTGACAAAGTGAAAAAAATAAAATATATTAAGTAACAAAGCAGCGAGACAACTAGATGTTTTTACTTTCAAAATAAAAAAAAAAACAAACTTGAATAATATTTTCTTTCGTCTCTTCTTGCCAATAATTGGTTGATCATTAGTATCATTCGATGATGAATCAATTCGATCTGATTCATCTGTTGTTGCATTTCCATATTCTCAAATTATTTTACCATATTGTCTTACTGTTGTATGATGTTTATCTCCATATATTTTGCTCATTGTTTCAGTTTTGTTATTTTCATTTTGATTTTATGATTATTGTATTTGTTTTTCAATAACACATCTTCCCGATGGTGTTGTTTCTCATTTCATTGTTATAATTATAAAAGT